ACGTTATCTTAATATAAGATACTGATAACGAGTCGATGTATTAGTCCTAGCTCCACATCGAGGGAGTATGAGGGGGTGCGCGAATATGTGGGGGAGGGGCGCGCGGGAGCTGTGGGCTGCCTTTTGGATTGAGGGCCTGTATGGCACGTGCATGCTCGGGATTTTGTTCAATTGGGCGCCCATAGTCCAACCTATGCATCTTTCTCGTTAACACCCAAACTCACACCAATCGAACGCACCCATGCACTCGAGATGATCTTGCATCAAAACCCCTAAAAATATAGGAATTCAAGAAAAATCCTAGGGAATGATTTGGGCTTGGAATTGGGCCATATTGAGTTTTAGGTCAAAGCCCATATCCGCATCAAAAGCCCAAAGTTCTCTGACAAGGCCCATCTATATTTGGTTCTCTGACAAGGCCCATCTATATTTGATTAAAAAGATGTGATGTTGGTACTGATGTACTCTGATTCGTGAATATTTAATATTGGAGTATTATAAGATTTTAGTTATGGATGTAATATGCATAAATAAATATATTTTTTAAAAATAACTAAAAAAGTTAATCGGACAATCAAACTCGAAATCAGAGAATTGAGTTGTGAACCATTTTTCATTTTTTATGAAATTTGTCTAAATTAAAATATTATATTTAAAATAATTATAATCCCTTTGTTTAATTAATTTCTACACGTAAAAAATTCTATAAATATTTTATAAATTAGAAAAAAAAAGTAAATAAGAATCAAAGCATGATCCTCGAGACCTTAATGTGTCGGTATACAACTTAGATTCTGTTGAACATTAATGCAACCGTGCACAAGTAGGTAAGTGTCTCGAGACAAAAAACGAGACCTTACCAATAATTAAATATATCCTCACCAACTTTATCGACACGTTCAAATCGACAATATTTTCATGGATACGTTCATTAAACCCTTCGGTCCCGTACTCGTTGAGATTTTGAGCAACAAAATTAGACGATGGGGTATAGGTTCATTGGCCAAAGTAGTAGTGCCCAAGGTTGTCTGATATCTTAAAAACATTCACATAATGTTGAAAAGGAAGAAGTGCAACTAAGATATTATAAAGTACATCAAAAGATTAGTAGTTCACAACTGCTCAATTATTTTGATCCCATGAAACCATATAATATTAATTGGACGGCTCCTTTGTTCCCCTAACAACTTTAGGCCCATGAATAATTAAATAAATAAAAAAAATAATAAATGCTTATAATTTCCTTTAGTCAGCTAAATATCAACTCATAGATTTAACCTTTATTGGATGAAAAGAAAAGTCCACGTTAATTTAGAGAATGATCATGAATTTATAGTCTAGGAATACTACCTCCATAGTACGAGGCCTTTTGGAAAGCCTAAAGTAAAGCTATGAGAGATTATGCTCAAAGTAGACAATATTATATAATTGTGAAGAGTCGTGTTCGTCTAACATGGTATCAGAGTCATGCCCTAAACTTAGTCATGTCAATAGAATTCTCAAATGTCGAACAAAAGACTCCAAAAGGAGACTACTCGAAGGCATAGTAAAAAATGACTAAGACTCCAAAAGAAAAGGAGTCGAGCCTCGATTAAGGGGAGATGTACTTTGTTCGATGGGAGGTGTAGAAAAGTCTCATATTGGCTAATTTAGGGAATGATCATGAGTTTATACTCGAGGAATACTATCTCCATTGTGGAGAGTCGTGTTCGTCTAACATGGTATTAGAGTCATGCCCTAAACTTAGTCATGTCAATAGAATTTTCAAATGTCGAACAAAGGACTTCAAAAGGAGGCTCCTTGAAGGCATAGTAAAAAATGATCAAGACTCCAAAAGGAAAGGAGTCAAGTACTTTATTCGAGGGGAGGTTTAGAAAAGTCCCTTATTGGCTAATTTAGGGAATAATCATGAATTTATAATTTACGAATACTATCTCAAAACTCGAAAAAAGGTTTATTTTTAAGGGAAAAAAAGTGATTAAATGGAAGTTATTAGGGATGAAAAGTCAACCAACCACCAAAGTGAGTGAGGCCGAAAGAGCCAACAGCCCATGTGAAGCACTCATTCATGGAGGTCCCATTTGCATTTAAATCATACCTTTTTCTTTTGGTGGTAATAACATTATTTTTTGTCCATTTTTATAAATTATTTGAATTTTAAATGAAAATAAATAAATAAAAATATCAGAGATTTATTACACAAATTCAAAATTTATAACATTTTAAAACCAATAATAATGATGTTCATGAAACATATATATTATATAGTTTAATAATGAATGATAACTATAGAGTAGTTGCCAAGCATTAATAATGGCAATAATTAATCTCTTTTTAATCAATATATTTAAAATGATTATTTGAAAAATGTGAAAATATTTCAAATCAATTAAATTAAATAGTTAAATTTACATTATTATTATTTATTTAAATAGTTAATTTTCAAACAAACCTCCTTTTAAATTCATAATAAAAATGTAATATATTATCAATCAAATTATTTAATTATCAAGTTCAAACATATAAAATTATCCACGTCATCACAAGAATTTTTTTTTGTTGAGAATTTTAAAATTTAATATTATATATAATTACAATAATAATATTCATAATGATGTTAGGATTGCATAACAACGCACACTGATCTAGATGAACACAAAGAACAGACAAGAGAAAATGCAAGGAGAATATGGGGTAAAAGTTTTGTATTGATGACTACAAATATGTAAGTAAGAGAGAATACAGATAATATAGAAAGATTTATATATATATATATATATATATATACTTTAGCTTACTATATATATAATTTTACCAGATATAAACATATATTATATATGTATAACCCTTGACTACCCTATAAATAAGTAGCAGACTGAGATAAATTAATTTATGCACTATTGTTGTATGGATTAAAAATTAAAAATAATAATTATATCAATTTATAAGCTATTTTCGAATATATTTAATGAGAATATTAGCACTCAAATAGCTACAAATAACAATAATTAATTCACTTATAAAATTAAAAATTAGTAATAATAATAATATTTATTGCATTTTCTTGTACAGGAATTCGTTTGTAAGATTTTAATATCTCATAAAGTGGATCGTCCTTTTATGCTTGAAGAAGCACACAAGGTCTGAAAACGGAGGGCAAAGGCAATGAATTTGAGAAGAAACCAATTCGTGAGACGAATCTATAATACAGTAAACTTTTGCCTTATGGCATACGAAACGATGCAGAAATTCAATTTTCTCAGTCTGGGCAGTGAAAACGACGATACCCAAGACTGGATGAACTGAAGGAGGGGCGTGCGGCAGTTAATTTCTCAGATCTGTCGGATCCTCTCATGGTGGATACTGGATTCAATTCAAGTTGCAGAGAATCGTAGGGCCATGGAAAACGATTCTCGCTTTTTTGATAGAGCCTGCTTCAGAATCTAAACTAATCTTGCAGTGAACTAGTTTTCATTTTTTTTTTGTAGTGCTCGGAAGGTGTTCGACGAAATGACCGACAGAGTTTGGTTGATTTATCTGTGCGGGCAGGCGATTTTTGTATGTGTGAATTCATCAGGTAGTGCAGTAGTTATAGGGTGGATGATCAGATTTTTAACAGATTCCTTGTGCTCGGAAGGTGTTCGACGAAATTACTGAATGAATTTTGTAGATTAAGGTGGACCTGCGTGGGCAGCACTGAGTGGAGTCTACAGACTAGGCATGGAAAATGAAGAGATTTGGCGTGTACGTCACTTTCCTCTCAGTAAAAATAAGGTAACTTCTTTCTCTATCTATCCAATTCTCAAAAGAAAGTTGAAAAAGCAGACAAAAATTGCACCAATCAAGGGGCGTAAAAATGATGCGTTTTGGATGAAAAAGTTCCCTGCTAGGCTACCGACTCTTGTGTGGGACCAAATTTTTTCAGAACTTTGGAAGATGACAAACGGGGGAAAAAGTACACCATTATAATTTCCCCCAAAAGCTTTTTGATGTAGTGGGAAAACAACGGCCTAATTCCCAAGCTACCATGGATAGCCGAATGGTAGCCGAACATGCTTTGTAACAAAGCTGTCTGCCAGTAGATATTGTCCATTTTAGCCCGTTACATATTAGTTAGAGAGGAGATTCCTTACAAAGATGCAGAAGACTCTCCCTAAGAGACATTTTAAACATGAGGCTAATGACGATATGTCACGAGTCACTAGTATTGGACTTAGGCCGTCACAAATGGCATCAGAGCCAAACGGAGTGGATTGTGAGATCCTACATCGGTTGAATAGGGAAACGAAAAGGGTGTGAAAACCTCTCCGTTACAAACACGTTTTAAAACTGTGAGACTAACCGCAATACTTAACAGACAAGCAGATCTTATCTACTAGTGGTGGTGGACTTAAGCTATTGCATGCTTAGACTAAGCCCCATCTATCATTTCTACTTCACCCACCTGTGCAATGGTTGAACTAAAAAAACTCGACAGCTATAATTTGATGTAACCCGTCAACCAGACTTGGACAAACTCGGACAATTTTCAAGCTGGAATAGTCAAGCTTGAGGGCTTAAACTTCTTGATTGACCAGTAAAATTGATATGGACAGGAAGAATTATTACTAGATCAAACAAAAAAGAAGTTAAGGGGTTGATGTTGATGTAAATTTGATTGAACTGAAAAGAACTCTGCTTGTCTAACTCTCCTTGAACAGGGATATGAATGAACAGGTAGAAACCCGGGGAGGTTTGAAGGAAGCCTAATGAAAAAGATTCACAACAGGAAAACAGAGGATTCTGAAGATGAACAGACAGCAACAACAACAACAACATTCAAGGTAATATAATCTGAATTCAGACACTCTGATACAAGTAAATTGTTCATGATTATACTATTAAATTGGAAAACAAAAGTATAATGAAGAGAAGAAGAAAAGAAAAAAAAAACCCACAAACCAGAAAGGCAGCAGCAGTAGCAGAAACTACTGCTTTCCCATTGTCTCTATACATACAAATTTTTTTTTTTGTTCTATTTTGCTGAAACATAAACATTCTCTGCGCTTCTTCTACTCTTCTCTGCCATTTATTTCACAAATTCAAATATCCATAACAATTCAAACAAATAAGAAGAGATTTTCCCTCTTACCTCAAACTCTGTGTGTGTAAACAAGTGACGTTTTGTAAGAGAGAAGAACATGGCATGGCCGCTTTTAAGTTGCAGAAATAAATATAATCCTTAAAAGTCTATATTATTCTTCCTCAGGGGAGGAAAAATAATGGAGAGATTGGGAAACTTTTAGTGCATTGAAGAAGATTTAAAAAAGGGCATGGTGTGAATTTCTCCTTCTTCTGTGCTTGAGTTTGAGGAGGAAAATTTCTCAAAAGAATCAATAGTAGGGTGGAGGTGGGGGAGAGGCGTACGAAACTCCATAGATTGGTGGTAGTGGGCCTTCGTATACAGGTGATGGTGGTGGTGATGCAGGTGGTGGAGGTGGAGATGGTGATGGTGGTGGTGGGGGAGAGTAATAGACTGGCGGTGGAGGTGATTGGTAAACTGGGGTGGGAGGCGGTGGGGGTGGGGGTGAAGGAGATGGCGGAGGAAGGTATTGGATTGGCGGAGGTGGTGAGGGTGATGGTGGGGGTGGGGGTTCATGATACTCAATACATGGCGGCGGTGGAGGTGGAGGAGGCTCTATACACGGCGGTGGTGGGGGCGGTGAATAGACTGGTGGAGGAGGAGAATAGACAGATGGAGGAGGTGGGGGAGATAAGTAAGGATAGATTGGCGGTGGAGGTGAGTGTGGTGGAGGAGGCGGCGAGTTGGGAGGTGGAGGAGGAGAGTACAATGGCGGCGGAGGTGGAGAGTTGGGCGGTGGTGGTGAATTGTAGTAGTAAA